AGCCTTGATCTCTCCTTCTTGTACTCTTTAAGAGGATACCTAGCCCCACTCTTTTCTCGCACCCCAAGCAAACTGTTCCGGTCAGGTACATTCGGCGGAAACATGATGTAGGCAAGCGGGACCATATTGGCCAACATAGGCTGTAACCATCCAGGTGCAGGCCATGCCACTTGGCGCAGCATTTCAGTGATGCTCGCCATATCCCACCCATGCTGATATTGCTGGAGAATAGCCTGGGTGCGATATGTCATGATGAGGCCTACTACTACAATACTGCTGAGATGGAACCACATGCCGCACTCGAAAAGACCATGGTGCAGTCGTCGATGGAATTGGCCGCGATTCTGTGCTGAACGTTCGTGTAACGCGTTGTGGATGCTGCCTGTAGGCGTGAAGCCGGGTTTGGTTCCACCCAACCACGACGGGAGAAAGAAGGATCTGATTATTGAAATGGTATAGTCTGGATATTTGTTAGCCATATATTGCGTCAACATGATATGTGAGGACTAACAAGGTGACATCCACATAGAGAAACTTGGATCCTTAACTGCTGCCCGGTATCCAACAAACACGGCAAAGTGAAGTTCGTGTAGCCATCTTGAGATTACCACGGCACATTGCAGCCGAAGGAGTAAACACAACTCGTTTGTATCGAAGAAAATCGCCAGTGGGTTGCCCAAGGCGAAGCGGATGGGTGTGCAGATTTGGTTGATGGTTGTCAATACAGGAATGACCATGGTACCAGTCGCATAGAAGAGACCCATCGCTCGCTGCGCTTTAGTAAGCCGACCAGTCTTGCTACCGTCGAGATAGAATCCAAAACTTAGGCCGAGCTGGCATCCACCGATACTCTGGTATGTTGAATTAGAAATGGGGGCACTGTCGGAGACTTCAGGAAACTCACCCATCTCACAAACTGCTTGAGGTGCGCATAGTAATTATCCGGTATCAAACCATGTTGAAGAGCCTCGGGCACATAAGCTGTCTTCCACCCTTTGGCCATCATGTTGATTGATGTGTGCAAATCCTCGGTCAGACCGCTTGTGGGAAATCCTCCAATGTCAAGTAGTGCTTCGCGTCGCATGATATAGCCAGAACCCGTGCACCAAGCGAAGTCGGCAAAGTCGCGAAGTCTCTCAAGACCATGCCACGAGATAATGTTGGCCTGCGCAAGCGGATCGTTAACTGGCACGTTGTAGAAATGCTGAATCCATCGTCAGTTCATTATCCGATACAACACCCCTGTCTTCTCTTCGGAGAAGCTGTTTCTTACCTGCGATGGGCATACCAGCCCCAAATTGTCATCCAGTACTATCTGAGCTACAATTGACCTCAACCATCGTTTCTCCACAATCATGTCAGCATCCAGTGCAGCGATGAAGTCGCTTGAGCCTCCCGGCAAGGTCTCGACATACGCGACAGTATGGTTCAGGTTCCCCGCTTTGAACCCGCCTTTAATAGATCGGCTTGTGTAATGCAAGTTCGGCATTCCAAGTTGTCCAACCCATGCCTCGAGCTCTCGGGATGATCCATCATCAGCCACGATGACTCTGAATTTGTTCTGTGGGTAATCGACAGAAAAAACCGCCAAGAGAGTGTCTTGAATCACATCGATGGCTTCATTACAGCACGTGACAAGAATGTCTACCGCCGGTACGCTGTCGCCAGAAAGCTGCAGGCGCGGACGGTGCCGGGCCATAAGAGTTTTCAAGCTGACCAATATAGCTGGTAAAGTCATGATGGCTTCAGAAAGTAAGTAAACGGAGTGGTGGTCAGAAAATCTTGGGAGAACTTGACTCACGAGTGAGAAATAGGTCCAAGGCCATAAAGGGCAGCCCGATATACATGGTCCGATCCTTGGACCACAAGTACTCCGAATGCCTCCAAAAAATGCGGCTCTGTGCTAGGGTATACCAGAGAGCAAATATCATGGGTAGTGGGGTTGTTAGACTCAAAAGGGGTACGAGAGCCTTCTTCCAGGAGGACAGTAACATAACGTCTGGGTCTTCTGCGTCATCAACTTCCCGCACCGTCCACTTCTTGTAGTCTCCATCGGCGGTTGAGATGGCAGCCTTGGAATTGCGGAGATCATGTACAATTGCCTTCTCCAGGTCCGGCCCAACGGTATGGTATTGTGGGCTAGGGGGGTTCAAGAAACGATTTGGGGAAAGCGTGACCCGCGAAGATCCTAGAGTAAAGTACATTTGAGCAACAAGATTCTATAGCAATGTAAGGTCCGCGGCTCGAACAGATATGGGAACGATATTGGAATAAATGTATTCCGCGAGGAAGATCGTGGACGGGTTGCACGCGGAAGAGGAAAGAGCCCCGAAAGTACCTCTGCAAGCCTCTCAGATTTTGGGAGAGTCTAGAATGTGTTCTATACTACTCGGTGCTGTGTCTACGAACGGCTCACTGCTCTACCCTAGCTCTACACAGGTTGTTGGAGCAGGAGGGTGCAGTCAGCCTTATTCGCCCCCGGTTTAGGTGCTTTAAAAAGACCTGGGCACACTACACGAATGATCTTATGGCAAGGCTCCGCATATATCAGGGAATAGCGTACAATGATTGGTTTTATCTTGTCTGTTCTTGGCGCAGGGCGTCAGTCATCCCGCCTCCGATCCCGGCACGGTTAAGCGAAGATTGTATACCATTACTGTCTGAGAAGTAAGCGAGGCGCAACATGTCTCTTATTTTGGAAGAGTACCCTGTACGTAGAGTGACCAGGCGCGCTTTACCGTCTTATTTGAAGTGGAAGAATGCTCTGGCCATGCCTCAGTGGCGCCACATTTTGTATGCAATATTTCCAAGCATACATGGCACGAAAAAGCCACGAATAATGAACGCTTTCACTGTCCTCAAGGAATTTCAAGAGATTTCAGCATTGGTATGAATAACTTGATGGTCTGCGAATTCGTATTGTATCAAGTATGGCGCTTTCCAAGAAGTTTTTTGGCGTCACTGCTTGTTTCTTAATTATCACTCTGGTTCTTTATACACAGCTAGAATTCAGCAACGACAACTATGGCCCGAAACTCAACCCTTCGGAACGAGGCCACTGGGGTCCTCTAATAGGAGTAGGTCTGGTTCCAGTCGCAGCAGCGGTCCTTCCGCACTCCAGTCAAGTGTTGCTTTGGTCTGCAGACCAGGGTGACGTATTTCAAGGAAAATCAAGTGACCCGGATACCACCCTCACGGCACTCTACGATATCAAGACGAACAAGGTGATGGCACCTATGCTATCTAATCTACAGCACGGGATGTTTTGTCCAGGCATGTCCATGGATTTCAACGGAACCCTGATGGTGACTGGCGGCAAGACTGCCGCACGGACGAGTCGGTACAGTGACGTATCTCGCGTCTGGGCGAGTGGGATAAACTTGACAGCGGGAAGGGGATATCACTCACAGACTACGCTATCGGATGGAAACACATTTACCATCGGCGGGTCGTGGAGTGGCGGTATCGGAGGCGACAATGCCGATATGAAAGACGGCGAGCTCTTCGACGTGAAAAAGAATGAATGGTTGAAGCTACCAGGCTGCAAAGTGGAGGCAATGCTAACAGATGGGGATGCTTTTGAGTCCGACAACCATGCCTGGCTTTTCGCCTGGAAGAACAGCTCCGTCTTTCAAGCCGGTCCCTCTCGAGCTATGAACTGGTTCGACACAAACGGTGCAGGAAAAATCGTCTCAGCCGGTCCACGCGCATCGGACGACAATGCCATGAACGGCAACGCCGTCATGTACGAGCAAGGCAAGATTCTCACGCTCGGAGGCGCCCCACATTACAGCCTCAGTCAAGCTACTGATGCCGTGCACCTCATCACGCTAGGTAAGTGTTCGTAGGTGAAGTGTACATGAGCCATGTACTGACTTCGTGCCTTGTGCTTCGGTAGGCACAACGTACGCGCTCCCAGAAGTGGAGACTTTACAACAGATGCATTATCAAAGGGTCTATGCAAATTCCGTAGTTCTGCCCACTGGAGACGTCTTCGTGAGTGGCGGGGTTAGCTACGCCATGCAGTGGCAGGAAAAGAACGCGACTTATGTGCCCGAACTTTGGAGTCCGCAGAGCCGGAAGTTCACAAAACTCGCACGCATGAACATTTCACGTTCATACCATAGCTTTGCGGTTCTGCTTCCAGATGCGACTGTTCTGACAGGAGGGGGCGGGCTATGCTATATTGAGTGTGAAGACGATACGGTGAATCACATGGACTTGCAGATTTTCACGCCGCCGTACCTGTTCAAGCGCAATGGGAGAGGATTAGCGATTCGACCCAAGATCGTGTTCGCGGATGCCTCGGTGGCGGTTGGGAGGAGAGTGCTCATTACGACGGATGTGATGGTGAAGGATATCTCCATGGTTCGTTTCGGTACGGCGACTCATTCCATCAACACTGACCAACGACGCATTGCGTTAAATCCAACTCTTCTTAGCGACAGTGGAGTGGTTCGAGGATGGACTTATGAAGTATGGGTTCCTGACGACGCTGGTGTTGCGCTCCCTGGGTATTGGATGCTGTTTGCGGTGGATGACGAAGGAGTGCCCTCGGTTGGACATACCGTACATATTGTACTTTAGCAGGTTAGGTTGGCACTTCCCACAGTCAGTGGATGAGACTACATGAATAGCCGAGAGCGACCGCCATTGGGGCTCTATCGTAGAATAGATTTTGGCACGTAAGTGATGATTGCTCTATCAAGTCATCGTGCTGTTGACGACACGCAAAGAAACCTTTTCCAGCAGTTCGTCAGGTGGTTTATAATACCATCCAGTTGACGATGTGCCCGGCAGTGGGGGTGAGACTAATGATCGCGATAGACGCTAAAGTGTAGCGTCATAGAAGCAAAAAAGGATAGAACTATCGCCAGCGACGTGCGAAAGGTTGTGCTGTACTTCGAGATGGTGCTAAAAAAGAGGAGAAAAAGGTCAAAAAGATATTATGAGCGACGCCTGCAGGACTCGAACTGAATTGGTTGTTAGTACATGATATGTGGAGACTGGAGGTGATAAAGCTTACCCTGCGCTCCCGAAGGAACAAGATTTCTAGTCTTGCGCGATAACCACTCCGCCAAAGCGCCGTTGCTCTTGATCGTATGCTGACCATTGATGAAAGTACCTCGAATAGGAAAGTATATATTCTGATTGTTGGCATCGGCACGCGGCCGAAGACTAAGAGCGTGGGACACGCGGGACCTAACAGACTTCGGTAGGCTTGAGCCGTGGGGCTATGCAGCTTACCAAAAATACCAACCCCATTCTGAAACATCACTCCAGCCAATATTGATGACGAAGCCTTGGGTAACGATTGATCGTAGCCTACATGACAACGTTTACTCTTTCACACTTTGATCGCATCTGATCGCATTCCATCCATTGCAAACGACAGCGCAACGTCATACTCGACAGCGGCTCGCGAAGCGGCCTCGGTTCTTCCAGCACAGCGTTCATGCAGGGTTAAAGACCCAGCGGGCATCAAGGCCGCTGTTCTTCTCCCGACCCAGTGTGGCGTCTCGGACTTCAAAGCTGAAGCTCTGTAAGATAGACCCCGACGCTACCATGCACAAGACCCAATGATGACCGCCGAGCTGCACAATCTTCATTCCCATTGGTTCCGTCCCAACTCACTCTAGATTAATGTCCCGACGCCTGCACCCATCAGCGCTGCTGACTACAGTGTCTTGCGCATCACTTGCAGTGCCGGCGAGCTAGGAATGGCGACTGAGGTGAGCAGCAGAGCGCCATGGTGCTCCCGACGGCTTGCTGAGAGGGGCCTCTTCTGCGGGCTCTGTCAGATCTACAGCACATTCGTGGGTTGGTAGGCAATCTTGCAGGGCTACATGCCCGAGACTGTGGGAAGCTGCGCACTCGGTGTTGGATCGAGGTGTGAGCTTATAATCACCGCGGTGCCAATCCGTCAGATTAAGTGACTTTGCCCATTGATGTCACTCTGCTCAAGTCAAGCGTCTCTGCGCGTTCAATGTTCCGGTCTTGAGCTTTCGCTGCCACTTCTAACGTGATACCTCTTGGGCCATTTGCGACAATGCTTCAGCTTACTTCACCTCGCCTTCCTGGCGTTCCTTTGCTCGAACTTCGTTACACTGGGCCCGAGTATGCGCGATGGCGGCGATGTCTGAAGTTTGCTCTCGACGCAAAAGGCACCTGGAAGTACTGCAATGGCAAGTGCGTTATGCCTATGCCGGACGCCGGAACCACCGCTACGAACTGTTCGACGACAAAGCTTCAACCATGTTTGCTGGAAGAGCGCAGAGAGTGGGTCAAGCACGATCGCGAGGTCAAGCTCGACGTCTTCCTCTCGCTCGCAGAAGAAGTCATGCTCGAGGTTTTCGAGGTCGGCCCGCCACTTCCACCGTCGAATATGAATGCGCAGGAAATGTTAGAAAAGCTGGATGCGCATTTTCAAGTCTACAAGTTTGAGCCATATCACCACGCCTTTTGCCACTTCCTCAACCTACACATCGACCAGTATCCGTGTATAGAAGATTTCAACCAAGAATTCTTGACCACTCTCGAAGATCTTCTCGACCATGGCCACCCGCTATCGAACGCCCAGGCTTGCAGCGCATACTTTTCGAAATTGCGATGTACTCAGAATCCATGGGTCGCAAAGAAGCTGGAGGAGTGGGACTCGCAGCCTAAGGAGGTTGACGTCCTTGAGCTCATGCAAGAATCACCACCTTGGTCCGTCATCCGCCCGCTCGCCACCAAGTCATCACAGAACCTCCGGGTCGAGTCCATTCCAGAAGAGTATCTCGAGGATAGCTTGGCTTCTGACAGCGAAGCACCATCCGAAAAGTCCGATGCGTCAACGGTGTCGAGCGTCTCCGCATACTCACGCCAGGTCTCGACCATGACAATAGATATGGCAAAGTCGCAGCAAGTCACACCGGAGCGCCAGAAGTCCGTCATGACTGCACGATCGCAGGAGATCACCATCCGTGCGTCCGCCGAGGACATATCCGATGGTGTTTGTGAGACTTTGCGCATGGAGATGGAGAAGCCCCTTTCCCTTACCATTCCAGAGCGCGGAAGTTCGAAAAATCAGGTCCCTGGCACGATACTTTCAGACGACCCAAATGCTCCACTGCCAGAATGGCTCGCATCAAAGAAGAGCGTAGCCAGGAGGCCTCCTCCGCCACATGATCGTCCACTGCCTCCTCTGCCACCACAGGCGCAGACACAGTCAGCCAGAGCGAGCAAGTCGTCCTCCAAATCTTCGTCACCAAACCTCCAAGCAGCTGCATTTAAGAACTCATCACAAGTCTACCTTGGCCCACCGTCTTCCTCCACCACTACCCTTCAGCTCGAAACCGCACACCCAACGCTCGTCCCCAACCTCTCCACCGACGTGCACCCGGCCCTCCGCGCATGTCCAACAACAGCATCACAACCATATCTGGCACCACAATTGCCACAAGCCTCAAAGTCGAGCACCTCGTTGTCCTCGTTGCCACAAATCGACACCACGCCCCTCGCCTTCCCCTTCCCCAACGCCAGCAGCACAAACCTCTCCGTGTCGTCAAGCAACCCAGCGCCTCCTAGACGGCCGTCAACATCAACCCCCAACCTTGCGATCCCATGGCCCTCAACACCCGACATTGCGCCTCGCCCGCACTCAAGCCGCGCAGCACTGGCAGCGATCCAGACGCCGAATCCAATCGCGTCACAGGTGCAGATGACATATACTGCCTCACCAACTGCCCTCACACACCAGGATCCACACCACGACGATGGTGGAGACAATGAAGACTACGAAGACGACGACGCCGACTCTGACGCGGGATTCCTCCCCCTCCAAGGCACATCCACGCGCGACTCCGCCTGGGACTACCTCTACGAAGCAAAAGGCGGCTACCTCATCACGCAGCAGCGGTCCGTCGAGGCCGTCGATCGCAGCGTGCGCACGAGGCGCGGGCACGCGAAGAGCTCGAGTCTGGATCTTGTGGCGCGGTTGGGCGGGGAGAATGTCACCATTGAGGAGCAGGCGCAGGAAGGGGAAAAGGAGAGGCGGAGGCGGAAGAAGAAGAGTTGGAGCATGGGTGCGGGGTTGGGCAAGTTGGCTATAGGTGGGGGGAAGGTTAAGGAGATTATTTGAGATACCCACTGTCGTTTTTTGTGTGTTTTATTTGTAAATACTTGTCGTTGGATATACCCTCTTCTCTATGTTTTAATTTGTCAAAAGGCACTTCAACGATGCACATTTATACATGTCGGACTTTATTCTTTTCATGTGTTCATGATTGTATTGGTCTAATGCTCAGAAAAAGGTGCATCATCCATTTCGCTTACGTAGAGTCATAACATCACTGCATTCCACATCTACTGCGTCTCCCTCACAACCTTGTCGACCGCCTTGGCAAAGTACTCGACATTGTTAGTGTTCAAGCCAGCCATGGAGATACGGCCATTCTTGGTCATGTAGACGTGTGCATCCTCCCGAATCTTCAGCACCTGCTGCTCCGTCAAGCCCGTGAAGCTGAACATGCCAATCTGGTCTGTAATGTGGTTCCACGTGCCAGGCGTGCCCAACTCCTCCAGCTTGCTGCGGAGTGCCGTGCGCATCTCCTTGATGCGACCAGACATCTCCCTCAAGTTTGCTTCCCACTCGGCGAACAGCTTAGGGTCGTTGAGGACGGTCGAGGCAATGCGGGCGCCATATGCCGGGGGGTTCGAGATCTCGGAGCGCTGCAGGATGGCCAGTTGCGAGGCGACGCGCTTGACCGTCTCCTCGGCGTCGGAAGAAGGCGATGTGACAAAGTGGAAGCAGCCGGCGCGCTCGCCGTAGAGGCCAAAGTTCTTGGCGTACGACTGCGCAATGCACAGCTCGAAGCCCTGCTCTATGAAGTAGCGAATCGCCCAGCCGTCGCGGGCCAGGTCACCCGAGGCGAAACCTTGGTAGGCAGTGTCGAAGAAGGGGAAGTGCTTCTTTGCGCGAATGACCTCGGCAATCTTCTTCCACTGGTCTTGTGTGGGATCGACGCCCGTAGGGTTGTGTGCGCAGGCGTGGAGCAGGATGATGCTGCCTTCTGGGGCGCCTTGTATCGCGCCGACCATGCCGTCAAAGTCGAGGCCCTTGGTCTTCTTGGAGAAGTATGGGTATGTCTTGTGCGGCAGGCCGACGTTGGAGAAGATCTGGAAGTGGTTCGCCCATGTTGGGTCGGAGAAGTAGACGGTGCGTTCTGAGCCCGTCTTGTAGAACTTGGAGAGGAAGAGGGCGCCCAGATGGACGGCGCCGGTACCGGAGATGGTCTGCAAGCTGGTGACACGCTTCTCCTTGATGGCGGGGCTGTCACCACCGAGCACAAGCTTCTGGGAGGCGGAGGTGAAGTCTGCGAGGCCGGCGATGGGGAGGTACTCGTGGTTGAGCTCGGGGTCGTTGCGGAGGATCTCGTCGGCCTGGGCAGTGATGTCAGCGGGTCACATCGTGGAGGTCAAGTGGAAGGAGCTCTTGGAGCTTCCTGTGAGATACAACGCACCTTCTTGACTACCGGCAGGATCCATGGCTTCGCATTGTTGTCCCTGTAAGCGCCAATGCCCAGGTCAACCTTCTTGGGGTCGTTGTCGCGACGGTAAGCAGCCATCAACCCAAAGAGCGGGTCTTCTGGGGCCTGGGGGACGACATTCGCGTCGAAGGATGTGGCAGCCATTGGTGCAATGTGAGTGGTGATCTGACCGAGTCTTGACTGCGGGGAGGTTTGGAAGGTAGGAGTCAGAGAGGATGCAGAGGCGGAAGAATGGGGCGGTTGTTGTGCAGAAGGTGAGGGTGGCATGATGACTGCGAGAGCTCCCACACTTTTACGTTTCACCGCCGAGAGAAAGCCACACGTCGCCTCGCGCTAGACCCCGCGCCTTGCTTCTGGAAGATTTTGCCCGGGGAAGAGGATGCGGAGAATCGGAGAGCAAGCTGACGGCGTCGTCTGCCACAGCGACAGCTCCGGACGGCCTTCTTTATCAAGTGCTCACACGCCCGCTCTGTCTGCAGGGTCTGCTGAGCAAGCCGAGGCACATGGCAGGCGGTCCGAGATGATGTCAACCATCACAGCCCGACTTGTCCGGGGCT